CCGCCGTGGCCGTAGCCGCCTCGCCGTCGGCTGGTGCAGGCGCCGCGGGCGGCTCCTGGGGGCCGTCGGGGAAGCCGCACAGGCGGTGTGCAGCCGGCAGGGCCGCGTGGGCCGCGGCCTTGATGGCGGCCTCGTCGGTGGAGTGGACCACCTGTTGAAGGGGGGGCGGGGCGAGGGGGGGGAGGGGACGTGTTGCGGGGCGGGCCACAACAAAGCACGGCATGGGTGTGGTAGGACAGCTCTGCAATTCATAGGGTCGCCCTCGCATCATGAGGCAGCTATCGAGCAGGCAGGGGTTTTGCAGGGCTTGCTGACCAGCACAGCTCCCTCCAACGCTACAATTCACCAGCCGATACACCCCCTTCCCGTTTCCCACGAATACACCCCACCTGCAGCACGCCCGTCTCCCAGCTGAACACCACGGCCGCGCCCTCCCCGCCCGCCAGGGGGTGCAGTACCAGGGCAAACGCGCCGCCGGCGCCGCCGCCCTCTGCCCTGTCTACTTCCAGCTCCAGATCAAGGTGACCCTTGGCCAGCCCCGGGGCCACAAGCAGCGCACCACTCTTGGACGCGTGGCCGTTGGCGGTGACGTGGCCGTTGGCGGTGACATGGCCGTTGGTGGTGGCGTGGCCGTTGGCGGTGGCGTGGCCGTTGGCGGTGGCGTGGCCGTTGGCGGTGACGTGGCCGTTGGTTGTGAAGTGGCTGTTGGTGGTCGCGTGGCCATTGGTGGTGATGTGCCCGTTGGCGGCCGTGATGGTCTCGCTGTCGCGGCGCCAGGACCAGGAGCCGCCAGGCTGGCGGCTGCGCAGCGCAGACAGCTCCGGCAGCGGCTCCTGCCACAGCCGCGGCTGCGCCGTAGCGCCGCTGTCAGCTGGCGCGAGCCAGAGGCAGCGGGGCGCAGAGAGGCAGCAGGCGTAGGAGTGGTCGCCCGCGGGGCGCTCACGCTCCTGCATCCACGCCCACAGCACGGACCGCCCCTTTGGGGGAGGGGCGTGAGGGATGGCAGATGACGTGGTGCGCGGTCAGAGGGGGTGCCATGGAGTTTCGAAACAGCCTCACTGTGCAGGCATGCACGGTGGGATGTGTGGCCTGTCGCGCAAATCACCAAATCTTTTGATTGCGTCAGTTGCCTATGATTTAATAAACAGAAATGCACAGCATGCTCCCTCCTGCCATATATTCCGAATTCCATCATCGACCCTTGCGGTGGAGGCGTGCTGCGACCCAGCTGGCCCCATCCCAGTGCCAACGCCCACCTTGCTGTCTGTCAGCACATTTGGGGCGTAGAAGACATCCCCCAGGTCCATCTTGGAGGGGGGGCCCGACGCGGCGAGGTCAAAGAAGCCATGGGAGGTGCTGAAGGGGCCGATGTGGTACTCGCTCACTGAGGGGCGGGGGCAAACGGGAATGGGCGGGGACGGCGGAGATGATGTGACGCAATGTGAGGGAACAAACGGCAGGGACGATGTGACAAAATGTTGGGTCGACTACACTTGGTGTGTAGCTGGTCGGCAGCTGGTGAGGACGGGCTGAATGGCTGGCCAGGTGGGGGCCGGGGCCGGCGACAGCACAGGGCTGGAGCGAATGAATGGAGAGGAGAGCAGCGCCCAGCGGGCTGGAGGTACACAGGATCCCCAGTGGTCTGTGTGCGCGCTGGTGTGCACGTGCAGCCCACCGTTGGCGCAGTAGTCGGCGGAGTAGCAGAGGAGGTGCTGCTGGGGCGTCACTTGTGCTGCGTCGTGCGCCACGCAGTTTTTGATGCCGTTGGCAGCGTGGTTGGTCTCGGCCCCACCGTCCCCGGCCGCGCCCAAGAGGTGGGCAGGCAAGGTTGGGAGCGGGAAGAGCAGGGGGCACTCGAGCATGCGGCAGTGGGGGTCGCGGCAGAGCTCCCCCACGTACTGCCAGCCTGGATCGGAGGGAACGGCAGGGGGACGGCGGGGGATGCATGGGTTCACGGACGCAAGGTGGCTTTGCTGGAGTTGGGAACTGGCTGGGAGGCGAGGAGATCGCTTGATGCGAAGCCCAGCAGCCACACATCCATTGCAAGAGGCACCCAGCACCGTCCACCTTACCCTCGCACAATCTCTCATGCAAATCGCCCCCCCCCCCCGGCCTCCAATGCAAACCTCAGGCTCACCGCCATGGATGCTGCGGCTCTTGTACAGCAGCGCCGTCCCCGCGCGCCCCTTCTCGCCGGCCCCAACCATCACGGTGAAAAAGGGGTTGTTAGCGGTCGGCCGCGCCACCACGAACGGGTCGCGCCACCCGGTCAGCCCCGCGGACGCGTCCAGCGCGGCGGGGTCGCGCGCGGCGATGGCCGCGGCGGGGACCGCGGCGCGCGGGCCGGCGGGCGCGGTGGTGGTAGGCGCGGGGAGGAAGGGTGTGAAGGGCTCGGTGATCCAGTGGGTGAGGTTGGGATCGGCTGCGCGGGGTTCGGAAAGAGGGGTGGGGGTAAGTGAGCAGGAGCGTGTTAGCGGCAGGCAGGATGCGGACACGAGAAAGTGGACCGGCCCCACTTGTCGCTCCATATGATGCTCACTAGGCCAATGCTTGCACACGAGCAGCAGCATAAGCGCCGACTATCGAGTTGCCGAAATGACAGTGATTACAGCCATCTCAGCAGTGCAAGGTGACCGTCACTGCAGTACATCGGCTCGCCGCTCACATGGATCTGCGGGGCGTGCCAGGAGCTGGAACTCGTACTGGGGGCTCACGTCGGTGCCGTAGCTGCCCTGCGGCTTCCGCACCACCTGCGGAGGCGCGAGCAAAGGGCGCGATGCGGCCATGGGCGGGTTTGCCTGCCAGGAAACGTGTGGGCGCACACATGCAGGCAGGCGGTCGTGCGCTTCCACGTGGTGTGCTCAAGGCGTAGAACACAGGCGCGGAGGCTGTATTAGGGCACGATCGTGCGAGGGTGATGCGCGGCTCACCCCTGTGTAGAGGATGACGGGCACGCCGTTCTCGTCCTGCGTGGCTGAGCCTGAGAAGCAGCCGTCCTGGTGTGGAAAGGGGGCAGCGCGCAGCAGCGGCGGAACGAGGCGCACAATTTGTGGGCGGGGTCGCTCCATGTGCACAGGATGGGGCACGGCAGCACAAAGAGCTCGCGGTGGGTGTCACGCACAAGCAGCGTGTGTTTGAGGGCTGGGGGCACCACAACCTCCACCCACACGCAGCCAGTTGAGTGGCGACATGCAAAGACCTGCGTTGGATCGCCCACATGCTGCGCACAGCGCTTGCTCAAGTAACAGGAGGCCTCCTTTGCCTGCCACCGTCAGCGTGCGCGCACACCTGGTCGAGGCTGCCCGGCGTAGGCTTGAGGGCAACGGGCAGGTGGCGCCAGTGCACCAGGTCCCGGCTGACGGCGTGGCCCCAGCAGAGGCCCCACTCCCATGAGGCGCTGTCGGGGACGTGCTGGTAAAACCTGGGAGGGGGGGGACATTGGGGGGAAGGAGGGGGTGCAGGCTGGGTGTCACATGCAGGCGCCCGCGAGTCATGCTGTTGTGGGGCGGGTGCTACGCGCGGGGCCGCATGCCGCGCAGGTATGTCGCGGCCAGCCTCAAAATGGAGCATGCGGGCCCTGGGCGCTAGAGCCCAACTGCAGGCCGAGAGAGTTTCACCAGGGCCGCGCGTCTGGGGCGCGCGCCTGCCGCTGTATTGCACGTGGACTCCCCCCCCCCAAAAGCACATCCACCCCATGATGCTCACATGTGGTAGGTGTCGCCGTGGAGGAATGGACCGTTGGGGTCGTTGACCCACCCTGCCGGCGGCATCATGTGGAAGACCTCCTTGTGGGGCGTCATGTTGCCTGCTGAAAAGGAGCCTACGGTGCGCGCGCGCAGGCACGCAGGATTGCAGTGCCGGGGAGATGGGAGCAGCGGTTGACACAGGGCAGTGGGAGGTGCGCGCAAATTGCTCTTGGGACGCACGCAGGGGGCAAGCCATGGTGCTGGATAAATTAATCAGTGATAGCATCAAAGATATCTTGAGCTGGCCACAATATGAGCCAAGGCGCCAAGCTGAGGTGGTGGCCAACCCCTTGGGCCGCAGGCTGCGTCTGACACATGGTTGGCCTGGCGGCTGCCGGCTGCAGGCCGCCCCTGCAGCATCGGTGCGTTGGATAAGTAGCGATTTGTTAATCCTGAACGCTACCCCTCTCCTACCCGGACAGTGCTCCTCGTCTTTCTCGGAGCGGACCCGCCCGCTTGAATAGGCAACCTGAGCAGGGACTGCGGAGGCCGGCTTATGTACCGTATTGACTTTCAATTGCGCGATCTTGAGATCTGGAGAAACGCAGGGCTGCAAGCCCAGGCGACCAGATCGGAAAGTACGGTAATCTGTGCATGCACGTGTTGAAAGAAGGGACCAAACAAATTGTTTGTGGGTATGGAGCCAGGAAGCCACGCTGGATCGTTCAAACATAGCTCAGCGGCGGCATCAACTGAAGTGCTGCAGACGGCGCGACTCAGCATTCCCTCCAACTCAGCCAGACTTTGAGCCATGCCACCGTGAGTGGCCAGGATTGGCTGCTGGGGGTTTGCGGAGGCTGGGAGGTTCTGCTGTGCAAACATTAGTACATACTGGAACAGTGAATAGCATACAGAGCCGCGCTGCATGCACTGCCGCACACAGCCTGTGGTGGTCAGCCACGACAGAAAGGCCCTCGCTCGCACCCCTGTGGTGCGCCCCTACCGCCCCGCATTCAGTAGAGTTGCACATGGAGTGCACAACCGTAGCAAAAGACAGTTTTTTCGCCAGGCCAACATCGCACGGGCGCACAATGAGTGTGCGCTTGGTCGGCTACCTGAGGCTGATACGGCTGATACAGGGCGAGACGCAGCTGCCGACGGCAGGCCGGTATGTTGCGCCAGACCAGCGTTCTCTGCGCAACCGCACAGCCCTGTGACCTGCTTGCATTGCTGGTTGCATCCAGGCGTGTCGAGCGGCCAGCACAGCCCAGAGCAGGCCCCCGTTGGCAGCAGCTGGCCAAATGCAAGTTTACTGCTTCGCACCCGTGCCAGGCCCTTGGAGGTGTTCATGTCGGGCGCAGGCAGTGTGGTGTTGGTCCTGCAGAAAAGTCGCGGGATTCATCAAGCTTAAAAAGTCGCGGGATTCATCAAGCTCAAATTTTGCGGGTCTGCTCCTGCTGGCACCTGCAATGCTACCGGGTTTGTGCATTGACAGACCGCGCGTGACGCACGTGCGCTTGTATGTTGAACGATGGGCCTGACCTGGTGAACGCGGCGGATGCTGCTGAAATGTTGCCCTGCTTGATCAAAACCTTGTATACTGTATGCTTAAGTGCCACATCATTTCTGCAGTTGTCCATCTTGTTGTTACTCGCCTGCTGTGCCGCTGACTGTGAGCCTTGTTGTGCAGCAATGGCACTCTTCCAAGATACGGGACATCACTTACAAATGCAGGCGCACTAGAGCATGCGTGCAATGTGCTCAAAAACCATGGTGTCTGTCGACCATGTTATCATTCAAGTAAAGTATGCAAGCTTTGTAGCGTGAAGTGTGGCGCGAAGTACACACCATATCATCATTGGGATTATGCAGCACAGACAACCAACAAAACTCATGTGGCACCTAGCAATGTCAAGCCTGGGAAAGAAACATACTGTAACAAGCACCTAGGCTGGAAAAGAATATGACAAGGGAAGGATGTGCAGCTTGGTCGGATAAGTTGATCAGGCTTGCAGACCGACGGTGGTTCCACAGACGAGCGGGTTTGGTTGCAGAAGTGCTCTAGCAACTGCCAGTGGCAGCCGCCGTGGTGCCCACTGGCTGCACGAAGTCAACAAATCGCTGCCAGCGTGCTGCAGGCACCGCACCTACGTGCGGGCTGGCGCTGAGGCATGTCGCATTGTCTTGGCTCAGCTTGGAGCACGACTGCATCGCGGCCACAACCGCCGTGCCCCACGCGTCAGCGCCCATCAGCGATGGCCGGCAGACGCCGCCGCCTGCCGCGTCCCACTGACAGGCGCCCGCGCTGCCTTGGCATGCGGCCTCACGGTTTTGGGTAGGAAGCTTCCACATGTCACATGATGCAATTCCCTGCAGATAACAAGCACCACCGCAGCTGCCCACAACGCCTTGGTCGCCCGCGTTGAGGCGCGCGTACCACGACTTCTTCTCTGCCTCCCCCATCGCTGCCAAAAACTTGGCGCAGCAGTAACCGTCCTCAAGCATGCACTCCTTTGCTGCCGCGCAGCCGCCGGCGCCGGCCGCCGCGCACTTCTTGGCGACAGCGGCCTGGCTGCCTGGGCACAACATCCAAGCTGGGGCCTCTGAGGAGTATGCGTGGCGGCTGAACCAGTCCCACTGGGCGCGCTCGACCCCGACGCAGCGCGCGTCGCGCTCCGACCAAAAGCAGCCGTGGCGCGACGCCTCGCAGTCGGTTTGGCGCACGAGGACACCGCAGAGGTGGTGGCGGCCGAACGCGCGCGTGAGCTGCTTGGCGATCCAGGTGGCGGGGGCCGCAGGGACGGCGAGCATGTAGTCGTCGTTGACTGTGCAGTAGCCGGCGCTGGGGACAGACGCGTCGTACGCAAACCAGGAGCAGGTGGACACGACAGCTGCGTCCGAGTCGACACCAAAACCCAGGGCCGCAGCGCCGGCGGGGCGCGTCGCCGCCGCCGTCACGAGCACAGCCAGCATCACCGTCAGCATCGCGGCATGCGGCAGCTGCTGGCGGAGCCGCGCCATCGCCGTTATGGAAGGTGGCCTACGACCTGCTAGTCTGATACCAGCAGGAAAGCACACTGGCACGCTGATGGCTGCTAGGTGGTGGCACACCGAGTGACAGGGCAGCGTTCAAAGTGCAGTAGCAGCGCACGAACAAACGAGGAGGACGCCTTGTCACTGCTTGTCTGCGACGATGGATTTGCACCAGCAGTCCAGCAAGCTGCACGAGAGATACGGAGTTCTGATTCGTTATTGGAATGCATTTATCGAGGGCATGCATTCCACCGCGCAGCTGTCGATACAGTACTCGCTGCCCGTCACACTCCTCCGTCTTCTCTAAAACCGGCACGGTTGCACGGGTTACACACGCTTTGCAAGCGGGCACAGCATGCACGCTGATGTAGCATGCATACAACACCCTGCGCATGAGGCTGGTCGCATGGTGGCTGAAGGTGGCGCATGCGGTGGCAGCGCAGTTTGAGTGAGATGGATTAGCACCTGTCAAGGTCGCATCTGGGGCTCACTTCATCCCTCACTTCACAACGACTTGCTCGTTGGCTGTTGCCATGGTCGTCGCACTTTCACTGCATGGTGCCAGGCTTTGCGCGCAAAGAGCAGTCCTGCCTCTTGAGCTGGATACCTGGCGGATCGAGCCGGGAGGCCAGCCCTGGCTGCACAACAGCTTGAGCCGGTTACTTGCCTAGAAGAGGACGAGCCCGCGGGGGCAGATCAAGCGGGCAGAGCTTGATGCGTCAATCGCAACAGCGACGCGTGCGAATAGCCTGTGCAGCGGGCGCCGGCGCGGTATTCGCAGGGGTTGGGGGACCTCGATGCAGAGTGCACATGTCCCCAGCCTGGCGCAGAAAGTGAGCTCGCGAAGGGTGAAAAGCCAGCAACAGCAAGTTGCGCAGCGGATTTGGGCCCTCAGCTCCCCTCCACGGAGATCATTGCCTTGACAGGCTTGACTACCCGGCACAGCGGGGGTGTGTGGGGCAGGTTGTTGTGCCGGCAGGGGTGTCGCCGTTGTGACCCTGTCATACACGCGAGGTCCCCTCGCCGTCGCCCATGCCCTCCCCGTCCTTTGCGCTCTCGACCAGCTGGTCTTGCGTCTCTATGACGCGCGCTATGGCCTTCTTGCTGGGCTCCTGCAGCTCGCCTGCACCAGGGTTGGGACGCGACCGGGGGGGAGAGATGCCTTTGCTGGGGGAAATGTGCAGCGTCACACGTCCATGACTGTGCGGCAGACCGCAGAATAATTAACTGGATGCGCTGCGAGTGCCGTTACTCGCACACAACCTGACATGCATGTATGACGATGGACATGACCACGTCAGGTCCACCACTCCCCCCCCCCCCC